GGGGGGAGAGCTGGGGGCAGGGGGGCAGAGTGCCCGTCAGCTGCGGGGCGGGCACACTCCTGCCCCTGCCCAGCCCCCAGCCCAGCCCATATACCCAGGCGGCTCTGCCCCCAGCAGAGGCTGCAGGGATGGCGCTGCAGGTGGGCGAGGCCTGGCTGCGGGGGAGCGTGGCGCTGGGCGGCTCCCCAGTCACCTGGGCCCAGGCCCCCCTCGTGGAGGGAACACTGCCCCCAGGGCCAAGCCGGGTGGAAGGCACAGCTGGGGTGGGCAGGCTGGGTGGGCCTCCTCGGACCCCGGGTCCTCCGCCCCCTTCCCCTCCTGTGCCTGCAGTTTGAAGCCTTCTCTGCGGAGGGCCTGGCCCCCGGCTGGAGCCTGCTGGTCCAGGGACACTCCGACTCCCCAGAGGACAAGTAAGGGACTCCCCAGAGGACTCCCTGTACCTCCACCGCCCCAGGGTCCCCTCCTTGGCTTGGGGCAGGGCGGTTGCCCAGCTGCCTGCTGCACGGCCCCATCCCTGCCCCCCCAGGTTTGAGATCAACTTCCTGTCCGAGGCCGGGGACATCGCCTTCCACTTCAAGCCCCGATTCACCAGCCAGACCCTGGTGGGCAACGCCTTCCAGGGTGGCTGCTGGGGCCCGGAGGAGGTGTCCAGCGTCTTCCCACTGGCGCTGGGGGAGCCCTTTGAGGTGATGGGGGCGGGAGGCCTGCGGGGGGCAGGGAGGCCAGGCTGGGGCACCTGGGGAAGCACCGGGGCCACCTGCATGGATGCTGTGAGCAGCTGGGACTCCCTGAACCCCTGGGTCCCAGACCCACCGCTGTCCCTGCCTGGGGCCCAGGCGGGATGTTTATAGGTGAACGGGCTGGCTCAGAAGTCCCAGGGCGGGTGGGCGCGACAGGATGTCCCCTCAGCCCCCGGCTGCTGGGACGGAGGGGTGCGGGCCTGCGTGATGGGGGTTCCACGTGGTGAGGGGATCCTCGGGACCACCTGGCTGAGCTTACAGGACCCAGAGGGCACAGGGAGCTAGACCAGGGCCAGGGCCAGGCGGGCCGTGGGTCACTGGCCACCCCCCCCAGATAGAGGTCAGCTCGGATGCGCAGCACTTCCACGTCCACACCCAGGAGCTCCTAGTGCTGCAGTTCGCCCACCGCCACAGGCCACTGGCTGCCATCACCCGGGTGCAGGTGCTGAGCGACCAACGCCTGGCGCAGGTGGAGCTGGCCAGGCGGGGCCTGAGCTGGGGGTAATTTCCTGCCCACCCCTCCCTGCAGGGTCTGTGCCACCTCCCTATCCTGGGACCCCAGCAGCCCGGGAGGGGGCTGTGGGCGAGGTCCTCCCCGGCCCCTCTGGAAGCCCCCCCACATCCTGCCTTGGTCTGTGGGGATGGGGGGGCTGGAGCTAAGCTGAGTCTGTCCCAATGCTCACAGGGATGGGAGCTACTGAGCTGTGCCTGAAGTCCCAGGAGCAAGAGCCTCGGCCATCGGCCTCCCTCGTCCAGGGGAGCCCACGCTGGGGAGGCTTGGGGAGGGGCCTGGGGCTCTGGGGCCCCCTCCCCAGCTCCACCCTCAATAAAGTCTGAGCAGAGCAAAGGAGC